GTAAGGATGGTGGTAGAGGTGGTGGAGGAGGTTTTGGTTTTGGTGGTCGGTCTGTCGGTCGTTCGGTCGGTGGGACTGTTGAGAGTGTTCGCATTTCACACCACGCCAGCGAGAGGGGTATAACACTTATCCATTACACCCCGTTCGTCCGTTGCGGTGGTGGTGGTGGTGGCGGAGGAGGAGGCGCGGGAGGAGGCGGTTCGTTCTCTCTGGTTCACCTGACTTCGTCGCGGAGGTCGGCCGAGGTTGTTGGGAAGAATGTTGAGGAGATATTTCTCGCCCCGTGTCGTTGATCTATCTTACTCTACTTGCGCCAGTCGTGTGAGTTGAGTGAGCGTTCGTTCCCTCGCGCTATGAAGGCCCCGGCGGAAAGATAGCAGTAGATTAATAGAACCGTGCTGTTTCATTCACGTTTTGTTCTTGCTGTGGTTGTTTTTTATTTACCCACCCCCACCCCCCAACTGCATTCCGAGGAGCTTTAATAATATTTTCCAGAAGGAAGACACACAGGACGCGCTTTGTCCCTCCGTTTTGATGCCAGTTGTGATAATAATAATAATACAAACAACAAGGGATGTACAGAGTCTATTATGTGCCGCGATTTTTTCTTGGAATAAATTCCTTTTGCTTGGTGAGTGTTCCGGATAATATGATGCTCCTTTGTGATTCTGAACAACGTCGCTGATGGTCTCGATATTACTGTGATGTTTGAAGTGCGTCTTTCAATATTTCTTGCAGTTTGTGTCGATGGATCGTATACCATGAAGAATATTATTTCTTTCTGCTTTTAGGTAAGTACAATCGTCGAGTGAGTGATGGGTTTTTACGAGCGTTCTTAAATCAACAACTCAGCGACTGTATAATAAGTAGATCTGTTCCAAAGGCTTTTATTGTCCTCTTTTTTAGAGGTGAACTTCTCAAGCTGGACTGAAGTTTGCTTGCTTTTTAGATTTTTGTTTTGAGAAAGTTTTGGTCAGCTGGTGGCCTTCATACAGAGGGGACCTTCTTACTGCAAATAAAAGTTAGAGCGGACTTTGACCGCGTTTTGTTATTTACACTATTTAAAACCGGCGCAATTTTTGTTGGGAGAAGTTGAACAGTTGTTTGTTGTTTGTTTTTTTAAGCTGCCTCGATCTATTTCATTGTGTGTATTCCCAGCCAAGGCTATCTTGAGGCCAAGCCAGCAATGAGCCGATAGTGCAAATATTGTCGCTGGAATGGAAGACCAAGGTGAAAAGGGAGGGCGTAAAGTTGAAGCATTAGAACGGGGTACATCGCATTGTATTGTATGCAGAAAAAATGGAAACAAAACAAGATTGCCTAATCTAATATGATTGTTTTCGCCGAAGACGAATTTAAAAAATGTTCCACTTTAGCGGATTAATTCAAAAGCGCGACACTTCACATAAATGTCCCATTTATTCCTTTTGGAGATGGACACGGAGGTTCCGCCTCTTAAATAATCTAATAATGTTGATAGGAGCGTAAAACCTATATCATTTCACCGTTTTAGTAGTTCAGTGTGTTGACAGGGTCTATATTTAGTGGAAATAATGATAAAGCAGTAGCGAAAGAGCGGGGGGGGCAGAAGGAGGTGTGGTAGAAGTAGAAATAGAGTGTATTTTCAGCAATGTTCCCTATTATCATGATGACAGTGATTCAGTACGATCGTGCTTCATTCTCTCAGTTGGTCTGACTGCTGCTGTGCGTATTTTAGAAAGTGAATTTATTTTTAGCTGTTCGAGTATTTAGTGTTGAGTGGTTCGAAAGCGCCGCTGGTAGATCCTTTCTCTTTAAGTTTGTCTCTGTTGTTTCTGCCAATACACTTGCTTTTTCCTCATCACTCTTTCGCCTCTGTGGTGTCTGCCTATATATATCTTGCTTTTTCCTCATCACTCTTTCGCCTCTGTGGTGTCTGCCTATATATATCTTGCTTTTTCCTCATCACTCTTTCGCCTCTGTGGTGTCTGCCTATATATAACTTGCTTTTTCCTCATTGCTCTTTCGTCTCTTTTGCTTCTGTCTAGATCTATATATCTTGCTTTTTCCTCATCACCCAAAGAAAGTTATGGTGTCTGTATGCTTCTCTTTGTAGGTAGTTGGCGGGTGTTCTGGAGTGGCTTACTCCTTCTTTCCTATCAAACGACTATCATCCTTTTCTCTCCTCCTTCTTTTTTGTGTATGTTACCCTCTTGTAACACATCTATTCTTCGGTACTCATATGACCTTATTGTGTTGCAAGTGCCGTAAAACTTTTACTAAAACTTAAAAACTCTTTCGTCTCTGTTGTTTCTTTCTAGATCTATATGTCTTGCTTTTCCCTCATCACCGAGTTAAAGTTATTGTGTTTGTATGCTTCTCTTTACGAAATAATACAGAAAATACTTTTTGGTGTTGACAGTTGATCAGTGTACTATGTACCTTAATGGTTTGATAATCAGTTGCACAAAGTGATGGTTTTCGGCGTTGTGGCTGATAATAGTCACTGTTGTACTGATTAAGGAACCAAGGGACAATTATTTAGATAGGCCAATGAACACTTTACACAGTACAAACAGCCTGTGAAATTAACAATGAACACGGTTTTTGGTATATCCATACTGGATTTTGTAGTTGAATTCTGTCTCGATTAATGAAAGAATTAGCATAAGTGAAAAGTCTTTGAGCTCGCTAATATACGTCTCTCTCTCTCTCTCTCTCTCTCTCTCTCTCTCTCTCTCTCTCTCTCTCTCTCTCTCTCTCTCTCTCTCTTTCTCTCTCTTTCTCTCCACTTGTGCCTCCCCTTCTCTGTGGGCCCTCGTTTTGTCTGTCTGTCTGGCTATCTGTTCTGTTCGTCCGTCTGTCTGTCCGTCCGTCCGTCCGTCCGTCCGTCTGTCTGTCTGTCTGTCTGTATGTATGTCTGGCTGTCTCTGTCTGCCTCTGTCTGTCTCTGTCTGTCTGTCTGTTTGTCTGTCTGTTTGTCTATCTGTCTGTCTGTCTGTCTGTCTGTCTGTCTGTCTGTCTGTCTGT